GCAGCCCGCACGCCCAGCAGCCCGCGCGCTGCCCTGCCCGCGCTGCCCTGCCCACGCAGCCCTGCAGCCCGCGCGCTGCCCTGCTCTGCAGCCCGCGAGCTGCCCTGCCTTGCAGCCCGCGCGCTGCCCTGCCTTGCAGCCCGCGTCGCCCTGCTGCCCGCGTCGCCCTGCTGCCCACGTAGCCCTGCTGCCCGCGTCGCCCTGCAGCCCGCACGTCCTGCTGCTCGTGTCGCCCTGCATCCTGCGTGCCCTCCTGCCCGCGACGCCCTGCAGCTCGCACCCCCTGCAGCCCACGTCGCCCTGCTGCCCGCGTTGCCCTGCAGCCCGCGTGCCCTGTTGCCCGCGTCCCCCTGCAGCCCGCGCGCCCTGCTTCCCACGACACCCTACTGCCCGCACGCCCAGCAGCCCGCGCGCTGCCCTGCCCGCCCTGCCCTGCAGCCAGCACGCTGCCCTGTCCTGCAGCCCGCGTGTTGCCTGCCCGCTACTGGTGCCACCCACGCGCATTGCGCGCCCTGCCCGCGCGCTGCCCTGGCGGCTGCCCTACCCGTGCACTGCGCGCCCTGCTTGCTGCTGTGCCCCGCCACTGCCCGAGTCGCGCAGCCCTGCCCAAACCGCGCCAAGCCGCCCGACCGACCCACCCTGCCTAGCTGACCTGCCACTACAGCGACTACCGCCACAAGTACAGCAGTCGTCACAGACGCCCTTGTGCTGCTGCTACTAACTGCCACTGCCTGCCATGGCCACTATCACGGTCATAGCAGCTTATGGGGGTGGACAGCAGTAGCAGCGTCAACCAGAGACTCTATCGCCGCAGCAGCTTCGCGAGTGGGTTGTTCTGCAAGACCGCTCTGGTGCTGGATCTTGGGATTTCATAGGTGCTGGTGATACTGGACAGCAGTGGCAGCATGCACTCTCCACGTCGTGCTCGTCTCGGCTACTCTCCCACCATACTCTCCTCTGGCAACACCGACTCGGTCACCCCTCTCTGTTGCGTATACGCAGCATGCACTCCCCTCTTCTTGTCTCTGGCCTTCCCATGTCCTTGCCCCCCCTCCCGCGCTCACTTGCCCCGCCGTGCCTTCCCTGCATCGAGGAGTGGCAGCGCGCCGCTCCTCACTCCTCCTCGTTTCCTCCGACCACTGCTCCTCTTCAGACTCTCCACATGGACGTGTGGGGCCCGGCCCCTGTCCGTGGGACGGACCAGGAGCATTACTTCCTGCTGGTTGTTGACGACTACACGCGCTACGCCACGGTCTTCCCCTTGCGGAGCAAGGCGGACGTCTGCGATGTTTTGATCCCCTGGATCCACGCAACTCGTCGCCAGCAGTGTGACCTACCAGTCCTGCGTCTGCACTTTGACAGGGGCGGTGATTTCTCTTCCGACCTCCTTGCGGAGTTCTGTCAAGACGAGGGCATCGTCTAGTCGTTTATGCTTCCGACCTCTCCTCAGCAAAATGGGATTGTTGAGCGTCGCATTGGCTTGATCATGGAGGTTGCTTGTACCTCCATGATCCATTGCGGCTGCTCCCCATTTTCTGTGGCCGTTTGCGGTCCAATACACTGCGCATCAGCTCAACCTCTGGCCCCGTGCCTCTGTGCCACAGACCTCGCCCACACTACGTTGAACGGGAGAGGTTGGCGATGCGTGGGCGTTTTGGGTCTTGGGCACGCTCTTCCTTGTCTGCGTCTTCCTGTGCTTCCTCACCGACGCCCCGCCATGGCAGTTTTACCACCCTGCCTCACGTCAAGTCTTGTCCTCCCAATACGTCACCTTTGACGAGTGGGTCTGCTTCTACCGGCTCCACCCACACGCGTCCCACCCGGTCCCCCTGCCGCCCCTCTTCCTGGTCCAAGTTCCCCCCCCCCGGTAGACCCCCTCCCCCCACAGGGTCCTTCTCCCTCAGGTGTGTCTCAGGTAGACCCACTCCCCTTGGTTGAGCCTTTGGAGGTCTCATCTGACACCTCTGGCCTAGCTGAGGGGGGTGAACCCACTGCTGACGACACGGCGGCAACTCGCCGCTCCCCACGCCTGGATACCCCTCCTGATATTCCGCCTCGACCATCTTCGCCGCCTCCGTAGCCTGTTGCTTTGGACTCTGGTGCTGCTGCGAGTGGTGACACTGGGGGTGCGGACTCTGGGGGTGCTGGTTCTGGGGGTACTGACTCTTGGGGTGCTGCGAGTCCTAGTAGTGGTGGAGTTGTTGGTGCTCCTACTGGAGGTTCTGGCGTTGGCCCACAGCAGCAGTCTCGTTGACAGGAGACCCTTTCGCCACAGCACCTTCGCGACTAGGTTGTTCGGCGGGGCCAGGTTGCTAGAGCTTGGGGTACCGGTGCTGGAGCTGGAGGTACAGGAGCTGCTGGTGCTCAGGGTACTGGAGCTGCAGGTGCTGGAGGTACTGGAGCTGCTGGTGCTGGAGGTACTGGAGCTGCTGGTGCTAAAGGTTCTGGAGCTGGAGGTACTGGATGTTGTTCAGGATCCGTCACTTTGAGAGCTTACGACGAAACCCAATTCTCAACTAAACGCAAATCCGCTCGGCAGGATTGTGCGCCTTAGCCTAAGCTACCATCTCTAAGTTGAATCAGTCGTTAAGATGGTCTATAGAGTGAGAACCAAGTAAAAACGTCCAGCAGCCGCATGACTAGAATGGTAGAGGAAGTACAAACATTAAGGCATAGAATGTTGGAGTTGGGGACTCCAAGAGAACCATGAGAGGGAAGGGGTTCTCCAAGAGCTAGGGAAGGATGGTAGGAACCTTCCTAGCAGCAAGGATGCAACCCTCATCATGAGGTCCTTGAGGTGTCACATGCAAAATCCAATCTAGTTGGATTTTGCCTAGGTGTTGCAACATTTGCAACCCATGCTAGAAACTTCTAGCCACCCCAATCCAAAAGTCAAAGTTGCCTTCCCTAACCACCCAACCAAAGATCCCTTTATAGTCATGTCCCAAGTAATCACCCAAATTAGATATAACCTTAAAAGGTAATAAGAAATCCAAGTCTTTGAAATCTTGTAACTTGGGCGATCTTGGTCAGAATAAGGCGATCTTGGTATCGTTGGAAAGCTCTGGATTTCTCCTGCATGATCAAACATTTAAACTTGGAGAGAACACAGAGATGGTAAAATCCAACAGCCATGCATAATGACAAATGCTCATGCAAACAATGCACGCATGAATAGCACGAGCACTCGGCAGAACGTTAGGATGACATGCACTCAGAATGACGTGCATCCAACAAACTCCCCCTCAGACTAACGGACTGCATGCACACACACTCACACATGCACTCATGACACAGCTGCCCACACTAGTGCAATGCCATGCCACACATCTTAGCACACTTCCAATGTGCGCTCTCGGGAAGTCTCTTGGTGAGAAAATCTGCCGCCTGCTTGCTAGCCTTCACATGGTGAAGCTCAACAATCCCCTCCTTCACCATCTGCCTCACCCAGTGCCACTTAATCTTCATGTGCTTATTCAGCCCATTCAGGATAGGATTATTGGCCATGCCAATAGCAGCCTCGCTGTCGGAGAAAAGTGGTGTAGGTCCCTCCTGTTCAGCTCCCATGTCCTTCAGCAGCTTCCTCAGGAGCACGATCTCTTTGATGGCATGGTACATCGCCATGTACTCTGCCTCTCCGGAAGACTGAGCAATCTCACTCTGCTTCTTGGACCTCCAGCTCACTGGTCCACCTCCGACCATGCACACAAAGCCGCCAACTGATGACCGATCCTCATCCTCTGAGGCCCATGTAGTGTCGGTGAAGCACGACAGCTTCAAGGTTCCAGGCGTTACCCCATCTGCTCCAATCTGTTTCAGCTGGCCGCCAGCTGAAAACTGAACACCAGCAGATGCCGTTGATCCGAGGTAGCGCACCAAGTGCTTTGCCACCTCCAACTGCTCCTCAGTGGGCCGCTGCACAACTCTGGCCAGCTGTCCCACTCCGAATGAAGCATCAGGTTGCGTATGCACAGCTGCATACATCACACTCCCAATGAGTGACTGGTACTCATTCCGCTGCTCATCCTCAAGCACATCATCCTCCTCAGCTGCCTTCTTCAGCTTGAAGCCTGCAAGGAACGGCGTCATCACAATGCGACCCCCAGTCACACCATAGCGCTCCATGACACCAGAGATGTAGTGTGACTGATGCACCTTCAGCCACCTCCTCTCGACATCCCTCTCAATCTGCAGCCCCAAGTAGTAGTGGACATCCCCCAGCATCTTGCACTTGAAGTTGTCCATCAGCAGCTTCTGTGTCCTCTCAATCTGCTCCATGGAAGGTGAGAACAGCAGTATGTCGTCGACATACACCAGCAGCAAGAGCAGCTGCTCCCCCTCTCCAAGCAGAAACAAGCTGTGATCCGCTTGGGACGTCTTGAAGCCTCCACTCAGCAGCACCTCCTCCAGCTTCTCGTACCAGCACCTGGGCGCTTGCTTAAGGCCATAGATAGCCTTCTTGAGCTTGCACACTCGGCTGGTCCCATCCTCATAGCCGTCGGGCTGCGCCATGTAGATATCCTCCAGCAGTATTCCATTGAGAAATGCAGTGGTGATATCCATCTGCTTCACGTGCCATCCCTTCACAGCGGCGCCAGCCAGCACAGTCCTCAATGTCACTGGCTTAACAAAGGGAGCGAAGATCTCCCCGAAGTCGACCTTCTCTTTCTGCTGAAACCCCTTGGTGACCAAGCGGCTCTTGAACCGCTCCAACGCACCATCAGCTCCACTCTTCACCTTGAAGACCCACTTGCTGCTGATCGGCCGTCGCCCCTCGAGTAACTCAACAAGCTCCCAAGTCTCATTCTCAATGAGACTATTGAACTCCGCATCCATGGCAGCCTTCCACTCCTCCTTCTGGGGTCCACTGAGTGCCTCCTCCACTGTGGCTGGTTCTCCAGGCAAGGGTGTGAAGAAACAAAAGGCCATCTCCTCATCCTCTCCCTCATCCGCCTGAACCGCCATGGCACCTTGCTTGGGTCCTCCCAAACGGCTATAATTCAGCCTTGAGGGTGCTGCTGCCACTCCTTCTCGTGGGTTGCAATCTGCTGCCCATGTGGTGAAGCTCCTCTCTGCACACTCCTCTTGGTGACCTTGGCGGTTGCAGCAGGCTCGGGCTGAGATGGTGAGTCCACACGTGCCGACTCATCCTCCAACCCCTCCTCTGCAGCAGGACCAGAAACTTGCTGCTCTCCACTGCCACTGTGGTCACTGGTTAGCTCTGACCCAGGGAGATCCTCAAGGTGCAGCTGAACCTCCTCCACTGCAGACCGCTCAATCTCCTGCAGACGCAAGCCAATATGCACCTGCTGCTGCTGCTGCCAGTCCTTGTACATGACATCCTCCACAAACTTGACGTCACGGCTGACCAGCGTCCTCTTGCTCTTGGGGTCCCACATCAGCCACCCCTTCGAGTAAGGAGCCATCCCAAGATGGACAGCCCACACAGCAGCAACTTCCAGCTTGTGCCTCTGCTCCTTAGGCACCATCACAAGCCCCATGCAGCCCCACACCCGCAGCATGTCAATGGATGGCTTCTTCCCAAGCCAGCGTAACGGCACCCAATGCTTGTCGCCAACATGTGTCAAGACCCTGTTCTTGACCGTGATGACATGGCGAACAGCTTCAGGCCAGAACTTGTAGGGCATCCCAGCAGCCCCCAACAAGGTCTTCGCCGCCTCGCCAATGGTCCGATTGGCACGCTCAGCAATGCTGTTCTACTGCGGTGTTCCTGGGCAGGTCAGCTGGTGTCGAATGACGTTCTTCTTGAGAAACTTGGTGAATTCTGCTCCAAGGAACTCTCCACCTCGGTCACTCCTCAGCACTGTCACCAGCCGCATCGCTTGCCGCTCCACCATCGGCAACCAATCCTCCTTGATCGCCGCTGCAGCATCGCTCTTCTTGGACAGGGGACGTGCCCACGTGAAACGGCTCCATTCGTCCACCATGGTGAGGAAGTACAGCACTCCCCCAGTCCCCTCAGTCCTCATAGGACCCACCAGGTCCATGTGCACCACCTCCAAGGGTGCCTTCACCGATCCCTCCGCACGTGGAAACGGGAACCGCGCAAACTTGTTTTGCATGCACGCCTCGCAGCTGCCATAGTGAGCGCCATCTCTTTGCAGTTGCAGCCCATGCACGCACTTCTCCTTGTGCATCACCTCCAATGTGGAAACAGCCACGTGTGCGAGCCGCCGATGCCAAGTCTCCCAATCCGCTTGGCCCGAGGTAGCCGATGCCTTCACCGCCGCGCTTCCTCCAATCAGCTCGTCTCCTTGCACACCTTGCTGCTCCTCCTCGGTGACACTCTCCTCCATAGATGCCGCCGCTGCCGCCTTGCCCGATTTCCGCCAAGGGAGTACCGGGATCTGCCACATCCGCTTGTGGACATTCCCTTTCCACTGCAGGTCCCAAATCAGCCGCTCATCGTTGTAGGCACGATAGCGCTCCGAGCCAATCGTCTCGGTGTTCACACCCGCATCTCCCAACCGGCAGGTAGAAATCAGGTTCGCGCACAAGTCGGGCACCCACAGCACGTTCTTCAGCCCCACGAGCTCTCCCTCCGCTCCAATGAACTTGGCGCATCCCATGCCCATGACCTTGGCCTTGGCGCCCGTCGCGGATGTGACTGTAGAGATGGGTGCGGGCTGAATCTCATCGAGTAGGTCCGCGCGAGGAGTCATGTGCCAAGAGCTCCCGGAATCTATCACCCAATGGGTGAGGGGATGTAGGAGAACCTTGGCAGCCATAGCAAGGTCGGTTGCGCCTTCGTTCACGAAGAAGAAGAACCCGGCCTTCCGCTCCTCAGATTTGCCGCCTTTCTCCTCATCCTTCTCCTCTCCACTAGCTCCCATGACTCCCCCACTCCTCTTGCCACCATGCAGGTTGCTCGATGAAGGCGGGGTCCAATCCTTGGGTCGTTGGTAGCACTTCCGCCAACGATGTCCGCGCTTCTTGCAGTAGAAGCACACCTCCCCTTGACCCCCGCCGCCATCCTCCTTAGGGTAGTCCTTGTTCTTGCCCTTCCACTTCTTCTTGAAGCCACTCCTTCCACCTCCAACTCCATAGCCAGCCCCCTCCTCCGAGCGCTCCACACTCCGCCGCCGCAAGTCCTCCTCAAGGATGCGCGCGCGAATGTAATCCACGCTCCACTGGGGCTTTTGAGAGTTGAGGTTAATCGCTAGGGCAGACCACAACTCCGGCAGCCGTATCATGATCTCCACGCATTGCACGAGCTCCGGGTACACCACACCGCCGCCTTGGAGCTTCGTGAAGATGTCCCGCATCTCATCCAACACCGGTTGCATCGGCTCTCCATCAACGAACTTGATGTCGCGCAGCCGCCGCGCGAGTAGCACGATGCCGGTAGCATGTGTAAGTGAGTGCACATCCAGAAGCTTCCTCCAAGCCTTGGGGCCACACTCTGGATCACCTAAGAGGTCCTTGATGTGGTCAAGTTGTCGTCCACCAACCGCTTGCACCATGAGCATGTACGCGTCGAACGATCGCTTCATCCATGCTCCTTTCAGCTCCGCGGCCTCCGGCAACTTCTCCTTCCCCTCCACCAGATCCAATAGCTTGTATTGGGTATACATCAGCCTCATGCGGAAACTCCAGTGCTCGTAGTCCTCCCCCATGAATTTCTCAATAGAGAAAGATTTCACAGGATCCACGGTAGTAGGAGATGGTGTAGAAGAAGTAGGTAGCGTAGGGTTGGCTGGTTGGTGAGTCCCCACTCCACCACCAGCAACTCCCCCCTGCTCTCCAGCCTCTCTAGCTCCAGCCATCTCGCCATTAGCACCTCTAGAGTCCGTTCCAGTCATATTGAGGCCTTATGAACGGTGGAAACTTGAGAAATCGTTTGGAGAGAATTCTGCCATAAGTTTCGATTCTACAAAAAACGCCGTCGTGGACTGGATGCTTCGAATTAGAACGCGGTTTGACCACCAATCGAAAGTTCGCAAGCAGAGCTACTAGAAACTGGTCTCACTCGTCAACATTGGTTGAGAAGTCACGACGATTCGTCGTCTCAAAGTTGACTACCCGCTTTGATACCACTTGTTGTTCAGGATCCGTCACTTTGAGAGCTTACGACGAAACCCAATTCTCAACTTAACGCAAATCCGCTCAGCAGGATTGTGCGCCTTAGCCTAAGCTACCATCTCTAAGTTGAATCAGTCGTTAAGATGGTCTATAAAGTGAGAACCAAGTAAAAACGTCCAGCAGCCGCATGACTAGAATGGTAGAGGAAGTACAAACATTAAGGCATAGAATGTTGGAGTTGGGGACTCCAAGAGAACCATGAGAGGGAAGGGGTTCTCCAAGAGCTAGGGAAGGATGGTAGGAACCTTCCTAGCAGCAAGGATGCAACCCTCATCATGAGGTCCTTGAGGTGTCACATGCAAAATCCAATCTAGTTGGATTTTGCCTAGGTGTTGCAACATTTGCAACCCATGCTAGAAACTTCTAGCCACCCCAATCCAAAAGTCAAAGTTGCCTTCCCTAACCACCCAACCAAAGATCCCTTTATAGTCATGTCCCAAGTAATCACCCAAATTAGATATAACCTTAAAAGGTAATAAGAAATCCAAGTCTTGGAAATCTTGTAACTTGGGCGATCTTGGTCAGGATAAGGCGATCTTGGTATCGTTGGAAAGCTCTGGATTTCTCCTGCATGATCAAACATTTAAACTTGGAGAAAACACAGAGATGGTAAAATCCAACAGCCATGCATAATGACAAATGCTCATGCAAACAATGCACGCATGAATAGCACGAGCACTCGGCAGAACGTTAGGATGACATGCACTCAGAATGACGTGCATCCAACACTGGAGGTGTTGGAGCTGCTGTTGCTGTAGGTACTGGTGCTGTTGGAGCAGGAGGTGCTGGAGGTACTGGAGCTGCAGGTGCTAGAGGTACTGGAGCTGGAGGTGCTGGAGGTACTAGAGCTGGAGGTGCTACAGGTACTGGAGCTGGAGGTACTGGGGGTGCTGGAGCTGCTGGTGCTGGAGCTGCTGGTGCTGGAGATACTAGACAGGCTGGTGCTGGAGGAATTGGTGCTGCTGGAGCTAGAGGTTCTGGAAGCACTAGAGCTGGGGGCTCTGGTATTGTGGGTGATGCGCCGTGATGACCGTACTTCTACCCGCAGTCGCAGTCGTACCTGCCGCCGCCCGACTCGGCACTCCGTCAGGTTCTTGGTCTTCCATCTTCCACAGGCCTTACTCCGCCTCTCCTGTGTCGTACGCATGACCAGTCACATCCACCAATACTGAGGGACTCCCCACTGATTGCTCCTTCTCCTTACCCTAGACAGACATGCTCCCTGGCAGAGCGTCGTGAGCCTTAGTCTCGTCCTGCCCCCCCTGTTCGCACTGGGGGTGAGCTTGCTCTTGACTGTGACGTCCTTGAGGACAGGCAGTTTCAGCTTGAGAGTCTTGCGGCCGTTTTACCTCCTCTCGCGTCCATGCTGCTTTGCCCTGAGGGAGACCCGGATGCACCAGACATCCCTACCCCGCGCTCTTACGCAGAGGCGATCACTGGTGAGTACTTCTCTCAATGGCAGACAGCCATGGACGCAGAGATGCCTTCCTAGAAGTCCAATGGTACCTACATCAACGATGTTCCCCCTCCTGGGCCGAATATAGTCGATGGCATGTGGATTTTCAGAGTGAAGCGGCCACCGGGTTCTCCGCCTGCCTTCAAGGCACATTACGTTGCTCGAGGCTTCAGTCAGCGACACGGGGTCGACTTCTTCTAGACATTCTCCCCCACCCCGAAGATGACTACTCTTTGGGTGTTGTCAGAATCGTAAAGGAAGGAATGACTGAACTAGCAAGCAGGTGGGTACAAGTAGGAAACCTAAAAGTGTTGTATCCTATATGAACTACCCCACTACAGCCTAAACAGACTATAGCATATAAGTTTGACACACCCCCATAGGCAAAGTGGGGGAGAACAAGAGGTCACAAGACCGGTCAAGAAAGGCAAAGCAAGCTCAGGATGGATCACGACGTCACCACGCATTCTGAGCACAAGCAAATGGCCACAAGGCCAGTTCACATGCAGAGTTATATAAAGGAGAACAAGCAATACAGTGAACACAACCTAGCAAGTGTAAGCATGCAGGTATATGTATAGAGATCACAATACAAGCAGAGTCAAGAAGTAAGCAAGTGAGGCACAGTAGGTACAAGGCCTAGAACGGTACAGAAACGCTGATGATCACAAGGCTGAAATGCCTTGGTGAAAACATCAGCAGTGTTGGCCCGACAGGCCACGTAAGCAAGATGAAGCTGACCACGCTGCTGCAGCTCTTGTCCGAAGGTGGAGCTGAGAGCGAGTGACCAGTAGGCAGAGGAGTGGACTGTGGCGAGGAGTACGTGAAGCCGAAGCGCTGAAGGACTTGCTCCACCATGTGTGACTGAGTCAAGGTAATGGTGCGCTGTGCTCTGTCCCGGGTGATCCGCAAGCCAAGATAGCTTGTCAGCTCACCCAGGTCTATGCACCTGTGTCTCTTCTGTAGCTCCGACTTCACGTGGGCGAGCGCCTCAATGTTAGCAGTAGCAAAGACCAAGTCCTCTACATACACAAGAACGTAGAACGGTGGCAGAGTGGTGTCGGTGCGTAGAAACAGCGACGGGTCAGCAGTGGAAGGAGCAAAACCAAGAGCAGCAAGTGTCGTCCTGAGTGTGTCGTGCCACTCACGGGGTGCCTGGCGGAGACCGTAGACTGGCCGCCGGAGGCTCCACTGGGTACCAGCAGGAAACGACCCAGTGAAGCCAGGTGGGCGGCGCAGCCAGATCTCCTCGTGCAGGCTGCCCTGTAGGAAGGCTGTGCTGAAGTCAAGCGAGTGTAACTCGTAGTCACGCTACCACTCAGCAGCACCCGAAGAGTGGTCATCTTCGGGGTAGGGGAGAAGGTCTGGAAGAAGTCAACTCCCTGTCGATGACTGAAGCCTCGTGCAACGTAACGCGCCTTGAAGACAGGCGGAGAACCCGGCAGCCGCTTCACCCTGACGATCCACATGCCACTGACGATGTTCACCCCAGGTGGGGGAACCTCGTCGACGTAAGTGCCTGTGGACTTCCAGGATGCCATCTCGGCATCCATAGCTGCCTGCCACTGACAGGAGTAGGGACCCTCTATCGCCTCTGCGTAAGAGCGTGGGGTCGGGATGTCTGGTGCATCCGGGTCTCCCTCAGGGGCAAGCAGCATGGACACGAGATGAGGTACAGCAGCGGCAAAGCACTCAAACTCCTCCTGTCTGTCCTCAAGGACGTCCGTGCCAAGAGCACACTCACCCCCGACGGATGGAGGATAGACAGACGCAGACTCAGACTCGGCAACAAGACTAGTGGCATAGTCTAGACGACAGGCGGCAGCAAAGTCAACAAGCTCAGTGACGAGAGCAGACGCAGCAGTGGACTCAAACAAAGGGTCAGTGACATCAGTGGCCAGAAAACGCGTGACAGTAGGACTAGCAGCACGAAGGGAGTCAGAATCCGGGTCCGGACCGTCAGGAAGAGAGGACGCAGGAGGAGACGGCAGAGGGACACGCTGTGGAGCAGTGGAAGGACGCAGAGTCATAGAGTGAGTGCCAGGGACAGGAGGAGGACGCTGACGCGGAACACGACGACCAGTGCAAACAGCGCGGTTAGGCGACTCAGGACGAAACTCAGGTGACACAAGACGAGACTCAGGCGACGCAGGACGAGACTCAGGCTCACAACGCTCCGTAAGACCTCTAGTCGGTCCAGAGTAAAGAGAAGGACCAGGCAGTGGAGAGGCTGGCTGTAACTGCGACTGTGACTGGACAGGCGGTGGACTCAGTAAAGGAGGAGTAGGACCAGTAGAAGGCGGGAGACCAAGAACCTGCTGAAGGAGCGGAACATAGTACGGCCGCGGCCGCACAGCGCCTCCAGAAACAGCAGAGACAGCACCAGTACCCTCAGCTCCAGGGTCTCCAGCTACAACTCCCGCAGCACCACCAGCTCCAGAACCTCCAGCAGCTCCAGCTCCAGCTGCACCGACAGCTCCAACTCCTGCAGCACCACCAGCCCCAGCAGCTCCAGTACCTCCAGTACGAGCACCTCCGGGACCAGCTGCTCCACCACCTCCAGCAGCTCAAACACCAGCAGCACCTCCAACAGCGCCAGTACCTCCAGCACCAGCACCTCCAGGACCAGCGGCTCCAGCAGCTCCAGCACCAGCA